TGATTATCGGGCCACGTACCAAATAACTGATATTGTTCGCCGGCAAAGACGAATTCTTCACCTTCCAGTGGTGCCGGTGTACTCGCTCAGTATGCTCTGTGTGACGGGAACCCCGAGTTGGTGATGATAATGTCGATTTAATAAACTGTATAAAGAAGAAAGAGAAATCTAGCTACAACTAACGGGTATTTATAATATTCAGCCTCTCAGTGATTGTCTTGACTGATTTCTTCACCCTAGGCCGAATACTTGCCACCCAGCCAGATATTATCAAGAATCACTACGCTGTGACACTGATCTGGCCCCTTAGCTGGTAGTGCCGAATCTTCCAGTTTCCTCTATCATTTCCTTACAGTCTTACAACATGAATCTTCAACAATACGCTTAGGTATCCACATAAGCTCAGACAACGGCCAAACCGTGACACTCTGCATATCTGGGATAGCCAAGAAGAATCGCATCCGAATCGGAATCGAAAGCAAACACATGTATATCTCCATTTGACGACTTCTCAACCATGCAGCACTCACCATTATCTTCTGAGTCCTCATCCCCCATCTAAACACATATCATCTCGCCTCGCCGACCGATAAAGAAGTTGATCCAATTGCATACAGGAGCTTGCCCTATTAATCTCCAGCCATCACTCACTACATATGTACGACGCTATTTATACCCGCAAGGAGGAAATCAAGTCGAAAAATACAAAGCCTGGGTCATGGCTTATGGGGGACTGTTGCTCTAATGGGACAAACAACTTGAGGAAGAACAGGCGGCTGAGATGTAGAGCGAGAGGGGAAACAGGTCTCTGAAGAGCATGCTGAAACTGACATTTTCGAGTGGTTTTCAACTTTGGAATTTTTATGGGCGCCAAGACTAAGATTTCGGCTAATTAGCCAGGAGGGCTTCTCTTGTCGATGAGTCAACGGCACTCCCCAGCGCCCTGGACGGTACAAAAGAAGTTGGGCTAAGCTGCCATACAGCAATCACGCTCTGTCAAGACTTTTCTGACATTTCAGCACGTCCTTTGGGAAGGAATTGGAAAGAGGCTAGAAAGACAGGGTGAATTTCCCGAGGTACCCACAAGTCTGCAGCGCCCAGCTGGCCGGCCTCTTCGAACGCTTCAGAAGGGTCACTTTGTCTTCGGATTTATTCCTAATGTCGGTATTAGAAGAGCCCCGCATCCAGTGGTTTTTGCGAATTTTCCCGGCTGCCATACACCCGCAAATGGCCATCGTTTCGTTGGCTGGAGAGGGGAGATAATGAAGGGCTAAGGGCTCCTCTTAGTGTATGATCGAATGAGGACTTGTGAGGGGTGGTACTGTTTGAGGGGAGCTGTATGGGAGGCATAGGAGGGGATATGCTACTGGAATAGGTATCCTTGGCCTGTAGACAGAGAGGACCTGCATGTCCTACATAGTGTAACGGCTACAAAGCCGGTATTTCCTGTAGCCAGTACTTTCCAGTACTGGTGTACAACCACCGGAGAACGGGCAGGTGCAAAAGCCACGTAAAAGATACTAGAATCTCCTAAGAAGAGACTAGAAAAGTCTCCATGTGAGTAAGACTGATACTGAACCTTGGAGAAGCTGTTAGAAATGATACCCTTAGAGTAGCAACTGGAATCATCTAGAAATGAGCTGACTATGGAGGGAAGAACTTAGAATGTAATAAATCTGTATATATACCTTGATTAGTATGTAGAGCTTAGGTCTTCATAGTTGAATTATAAAATACCATCATCCATACAAATGCTCCTTGCTTTCTATAGTTGATCTGTGACACATAGTCATAGACTCAGACAGGACAATAAAATGAATTAAAAAAAAAAAAACTGATAGTGTTCCTCAGTACTCGACTCTAGAGGAATATCAGTGTTTGTTTGTTGGTTTACTTGGGGTCGTGGTTGATATTTCTATGTTGTGAAGACTTTTAAAAGGGTTATGTCCGGCATGCCATTTTCTAGGTTGGGCCTTATCATAGCACTCCTTTGTGCTTCTCTGCGTGTCCCCGCTTCAATTGTTTGGCGTAGTTGCGTTGCGGGATCAAAATGTGGTGTAGCAGAGCGGGAACGAAATGCAGTTGCTCTTAGAGATTGGTAGTCCGGATGAAATCGTGAATTGAATGATTCATCTCTGTCTGTTATTTCTAATATTTCATCCCTAGTCCACGTATGCTGCTCTCTTTCATCCGCAATTTTCGCTAGTTCTCCTGCTATTGAGACTCGTGGTGCCTTTAAGATATAAACGCCGTTTGAGCGTAAATAATCACGTAGGTCAACAATTGCAGTGCGTGACGGAATCTCGAAATTATTCTTTGTCCAATTCTCGAAATACTCAATGAACTCCTCCCAAAGGCTTTCATCTCGATACTTTCGGTGTTTGTTTTGTTGGATAAAGTGGACAATATAGCCGTTGAGACGTGGTTCATTCGACATTTCATTGTCTTGAATATCAATTTGGTGACCAGAGATGTACAATTCGTATTGGTAGATGGGCTTATAGAGCTCCTCCAACGAAACGGAGGTGATCGACATTGTATCAGGAGGTGACGAGTACTTGTCGGGAATTCAAAAATTAATCAGATCTCAAATAAATGGAGAGACTGAAACCGAACGATGAATTACTACCCGTTGTACGATGTTGTTCTGCATGATGGACGCGGATTCAAATAGTCTAGTTCGTGGCTTGAGAACTGCACAGTAACTAGATGAGTTATTTTAGAATCTTGGAAATCTTAAACTCTAGGGGCGCACAGATTGTGACTAGGCCTTAAAAGCTTTTAATTCCCTTAAGCACAAGTTTTGAGGTGTCTTCGACAGGTGTCGTAAGGAGGGACTTTAAATCTTGCCTCTTCGTGAATACCTTGCTTATCTGTGTCTCAGCTGTAAGAGACACTGATCAGTGTTAGTACAATACGGTAAACGCGCGTAAATGAAAGGCAATAAAATAGATTCAATAACATTCACAAATTTATTCATTGAATCCATTTATTGCCTTTTATTTACGTGCATATACCGTATTGTACCAACATGACTCGCAATCGTGAGTTCCCAGCAATTTGAACATTTAAAATCTTTAGACATCCAAGCACACCTGCACTGCAAGAACATTGTCGAGCTTTGTTAGATTCGAACGAGCCTCTACTTTGCAGACTGGCTCAGATGATATACCACCGCACCATGCGACTGTGAGCGTCTCTATAGTGTCGCTTGCGCTCTCGCGAAGAAAGCTGTGGTACTCAGATTGTTCTTCCATATGTAAGAAACCTTCCAAATATCATAATTTCACACCTTTGAGATTGATTTATCCCAGATATCGTCTTGTTTGTCTCTCCTCGTTTCCTCCACGTCCATCAAAGTATAACCCGGTAGATTTGTGCGCGACGATTTGCCTCTCCGGCGGGCATATATCCTCGATAGCAGACATGCGAGGGCCAGCTGAGAACAGAGATTGAGTGAATAAGGGGCGTGGGGATTGAAATTAAGATTTGTCGAGCGCTACTTGTAGATTGGGTGAGGCTCTGGTTGGAATGTCTTGAACCATTGACTAGCTTCTTTGGTACTGTGAGAATTTAATGAACTCGGCTGCGGCTTAGTATCTCACTCTCGAGTTCGCGGAGGATACAGCAGACGCGTGTTCGGTATTTGGCTTCCCTCCCATGGCCGTGACGACGTGAAGCCTCGCATGATTGAATCAGCAGTGGTTCGCCGCAGAGTCACGCGGGCCTGGTCGAGCATCGATCTGGCGACTTGCACGGCTTCCTAGTGGCATGCGGGCCGTATCCCCACGCAAATATCAGCGTCGGCAATAATTATGTTCTCCTCGTAACGGAACGATATCTTTTGTCGCAATCATCTACAACCAGACCATCCACCAGTGTATTCTAAACTATCCCTTGGTTCACTTCAAACCATCCTCAAACCCTCGTTCATCGCCTCTTGCGATGTAAACCTATGCTTGTATAAACTTCTTGCCCTCGCCCTAGTCTGCAAAGTTGAGACTGGATCCGATTCTTGCCAGGAGTGCTTCTATCGTCAACGAGTCGACTGCATTTCTCAGTACCTAAGACAGCTCAAAGAAGTGGGCATAGCTTACTCACAGTACACACTCGCTATCGAGCCTTTTCGACTTGTCAACATAGCCTTCAACTCGTCTCGAGGCGCAAGCCAGGGAACAAGTTGAAAGATGGCTGAGAATGTTGTAATTGATCCCTTTGTTCACATACAAGTCTCCGACGCTCAGCTGGATGATCTCTCTGAACGCTCTACAAAACTGTTTATTCAGACTTGGCATTGGTGGTGGCAGGAGAAAAGGCTCGCAACAAGTGGTTTTGCGAGTCTCCTCGCCCCGCGCACCTGGAATTTCCTACGGTTTTAGTGTGAAAGGGGAGACATCCAATAGCGAAAAGCTCTTTCTAGTCTGAAATCTAATGAGGACTTACGAGAGGTCTTACTCGTGGATGGGGAAATACTACCAAGTATGTTGATTCAGAAAGAATATTATCAATATATAACTGGATAGCGGCTGCTATTAGTGTGCACTCGAGTCAAGACTTTTGAGGGTACAACTGATGGAAAGAAGTCGTGAAGGAGGTATAGGAGAGATTACCCTACCCGAGGCCTAGATACTCCCGGCCTGTTGGTAGAATAGGCATACATGTTTTTGCCCAGTCATCGACTCAATAGAACAATAACTAAGCCATCAACATTATGTAGAGTACAAGAGACGGAGATTTATTTACAGATTCCACAAGGCTTATTACAAAAATTGTAGACGAACTTCACCATGCCATCCGTAGGGAGGTGACCTATCCGTGCTATACATAGGTTAAGCCGAGCCCCGTCGATATTCATCTTTTGATAATCTGATGTGATGAGCTGCAACTACCAGAAGAGATAGCAAACTTCACACGGTGCAATCATCAATTCTCCCACCAGCAGTCCGCCCAGGGAGCCGATATCCATATTTGGCGGAATTTTGAAAGAGGACATTTAAACACTAGAATGATTTTGGTGCATGATCTCTGAGCCACGTCATTGCATCATCAAGGTTTTCTCGAACTTCCAGAGCGGCTATCCACCACTCTAGCTCAAACACTTTTTCTGCTGCCATCATATTCGCCAGATTCCTAGCTTGCTGACACTTTTCATCCACACAAAAGTAAAAGTCGCCATTGTCAAGATTTTGGATCAACGGCTTTATAATAGGGAGGGCGGTACGAGATGTCAACTCTAGTTTTCGGCTTGTCTTACAGTACTCATTACAGCACCAAGGCTTCCCACAGCCTGAGATCAGTTGGGTAAGATAGCGTCGCTCAATACGCCGCTTCAATACTTTGCCCTCTGGATCATATATGTTGGCATACAGTGGACCAAAGCACATGCTACAAAGTCCTAATGAATTTCCAGTGTTCCCAAGCATCTCCACACTATCCAAAGTCCGACTGCAATTCATATTTCTACAGACCTGCGGTTTAGATTTATTGGAATTCTCCAACTCATGATGCTTCTGATGACTACAGATATCCCGGAGTCGAATAATTTTATTGCAGACCCTACATTCAGTCGTTCTCGCACCATCCAGGACTTCATGGGCAGTGAGACCGGTGATTAAAGTTTCTGCCGATGGGTTCAGAGGATCTCCTTCTTGAGGAACTTCAAGATGACAAAATTGACATAGAATCAGTTTCCCGGGACAAACAGAAGTTCGATGAGCTGCAAGCTCTAGCGTGTTTGTAGCATCATGATGACAATGTGGACACGACCTCGGGGTATGAAAAACCTCATCATGTGCTGTTTTTTCCTCTAGAGTCTCGCCATGACTAGCATCAAATTCACAATGCCAGTGTTGCTGCCATTCAGATGACTGTTTTTTGAATACTTTTTGGCACTTGGAACAAATTATATTATTTCGCGCACAAAAGTTTTCATGGATGAGCATCGATCGCTTAGGAATCCACTGGAGACAAGTCTTACACTGATCTGTGTTCTCATCATGCACTATTTCATTTTTCTCTATATCGGGAGGCTGGCTAGAGCTCATGGATAAAGTCAATGGCATGACTTGGAGAGAAAACATGTGAGCTATAGATCTACTACCATGAACATGTAGTGAAATGTAAATAGCTTCAGTCTTTTCCAAGTCGAGGTCGGATGGGAAGATAGTGATTCTCTTAATACTCTCCGTATCCAACCTACCCCAAACGTGCTCATCTTCCCGTGGTCTGGCCCGCTGATGTGAAGAATACGGGCTTACTAGCAGTTGCACATGGCTCCCACTCATTTCCACGATAATCCCCTGAGATCGATCCCAGGAAGGAAGTATGTAGTCAACGTATTGACCTTGAAACACCTTTCCCTCCGACTGCTTCCATAAATTCAGCTCCCCTCCCGTAGAACTTACATTGGATGTATTAGGGTTAGAGGGTCTAGGCTGTATCTTCATGAGGGTTTCCCTTGCTTGTTCTTCATTTAAAGCTTCAATATCCACCTCTAAGTCAGTATTAATCACACAAATCCCGTCTCCTGCAGGTAAAAGTTTATCAATGAGGAAACTGAATTCTTGGGTTCTCGAAGCATTTATTTTTAGGACCTTTCCATTTGTCAATGTTGTAAAGTTTTGACGTAGGCTTCTCTCCAGTAACGATTTCCAATTATCTGAATCATATCCTGATTCCAGCGGTCGCAATCGAACATATACGCCTTTCGGTAGAAGTTTTAAAGATACCGTTATTTGTGGCATCGATGTATCTATAGACTCGCGCGACATTTGCCCTGGATTGGATCGAGTGTCGGTCTCATCTTTTAATTCATTTCTTGAAGCTGTACTTATCTCCAAAGCTTCAAGTAAGAATGGGCTTAGCCCAATCTCGTTCTCTTCCATGGAGAACTCCTTGATTCCTGTGTAAACCCTTTTATCATTTTGAGGGTTGACCAGTAGAAAGGTGAGAGGATAAGGGAGTTCCTGGTGCGTATCCCGCCCCGATGAGGCTGTAGATAGAGCTGGTGTTGAAGGATATTGGTTACCACTAGCTGTATGACTGTTTGTCTTTCCTAGTGTGCTTGACCTCACTAGCAATTCTTCAAGCGCAGACTGCGGGAGTGAAATGTTATCCCCAGACAGTGCTGTCCTAGTCCTTGATGCCACGTTATAAACCTTAGTCCAGTTTAGCCCAGTCTCTTGACCTGTCATGACGGAGTTACTATCGTTGCAAGTACTAGCACAGGCGCGTTGGAGATTAATTTCTCGCTGAATATTTGTGGGACAACGAGCAAATCACTGATGTCACGACCAGCGCTAATAGCCAATTGAATGGTAATAGCGAGTGGACACATGATCTGTACTGATCCCGAAGCCATGGATGACTAAGACCGGCCGCACATCTTTTTTTTTTATTTTTTTTTTGCATCAGATTTTAATTGCGTATGCAGCTATCTAGCTATGACACAATATCAAAGAAAAGTATAGAAAAGATGACTCAGTTTATAATAGGAGCACTCATGCCTCGGATTTCATTTGCAAGTACCACTGCGAAGTTATGGTGGCTTTTTCTTCACCCCAAGTCAACCCTCATCCGTGAATACCCACCCAGGGGAACGTCTCAAAAACCCTGAGTTATCCAGACATGCCTCCGTCATCCATCAACTTTTCTCCGCGCGAAATGTAATCTGAGATGTCTCCTTCCCAAGTGGAGTAGGTGCCCAGGCTACTCAAACCATACCAGAGAACACCACTAGGAGGCGGACCACTACACCTTCCATCGTTTGCTTGTTTTTATAGTGTCAGCTGCACTCTCGCAAGCGAAGTCTTGGCGCGCACAAAGCTCAATTTGTAAAAACTCCTTGCCAAAGTTCAAAATTTCACGCCCGTCGAAAACGTATCCCTCTTCTGCATCATCTTGTAAACTTGTCCTGATCCCTCTCACGTCCGTCCCAAAGAGCTATCTCCCAAAATTGTGCTCCACGCTTTGCTTCCTCCGTCGGGTGTAAATATCGGCGTGGGCGTGTATCTGGCGACCAGCTAAGGCCAAAGAAAGTCGAAAAGAAGTGTGGTCATTGGAATGAGGATGTACTAGGTCGTACTTGTAGACTTGATGAGGCTTAGGTAGGAATCGATTTCGTTGGGAGTGAAAGATTGATATGGTGGAGTATTTTGAATCATTGCCTCGTGGGCCAACTTGTTCGGTATTGCGAAATTTGACTGAACTTGGCTCTGGGAGAATGTTTCACTCCCAGGTTCGTAGAGGACACCGCGTACAGGTGTTCAGTCTTGCCCTCCCGGGCCGCACATCAGTGGTATCCTTTATATGCCAAGAAGTTAAACTTCGTATTAATGACTAAATTGAGTCAAGTGAGAGGCTAATCATATTATGTTACTATCATTGTCCTCCCTCAGTCTGTGCCTTACATTGTATTTCCCATCCATGAGTGAGACTTTACAAAAGTCCTCATTTGATTACAAACTTGGCCGAGCCTTTTGCCACTCAATGTCTTACCTCTCTTATCAACATGACCACAGTTATCTAGTTGTGCGGGTGTGAGGAGACTCGCAAAACTACCTGATGCGGGCCTTTTCTCCTGCCACCACTAGTGGTAAGTCCGAACAAACAGTCTTGTAGAACGTTTATAGAGATCATCCAGCTGAGCGCCGTAGATTTATGTATGCACAAAGGATTCACTTAAAACATTCACAGTCTCCTTTCAATTTAATCCCTGGCTTGCGCCTCGAGACGTGTTGGAGGTTATGTTGAAAAGTCGAAAAGGCTCTTTTTTTTTTTAAATCATTTAATGTGTATGCAGCTATAGAGCTATGACACATGACCGGTGCTATATATACATGTGGGATGACTCATTTGACGTTAGAGAAACTCATACTCTGGATTTCATTTGCAAATACCACTATGAGGTATGTTCGCTTACACAAACAGTCGACCCTCCTCCGTTAGTACCCACCAAAGGAACTTTTCAAAACCTTTGGTTATCCAAGCATGCCTTCGTCATCCATGCATACCAGCGCCGCGAGAAATGTGGTTGTGTTTTTCCGGATTTGAACCAGCGATCTACTGTCTCAAGTGGGATATGTGTCTAAGCTATCCAGACTCTACTTGGCAGACCGGCCAAGACGATGTACCACCGCACCATCCAACCACGGCAGTTTTTATAGTGTTGCCTGCACTCTCGCTGCCGAAGACTTGGCACGCACAAAGCTCAATTTGTAAAAATTCCTTTCCAAAACTCAAAATTCCACGCCCGTCGAGACTGTATCCATCCTCTGCATCATCTTATCAACTTGTCCTGATCCCTCTAATATCCATCCCAAGGAAATGTCTTCCAGATTTGTGCGCCACGCTTTGCTTCCTCCGTCGGGTGTAAGTATCGGCGTGGTCGCATATTTGGTGACCGGCTGAGGCCAGAGAAAGTCGACGAGAGGTGTTAACATTGGAATAAGGATGTACTAGATCGTACTTGTAGACTTGATGAGGCTTAGGTAGGAATCGATCTTTTTTGGAATGAAAATTTGACGTGGTGGAGTTATTTGAATCATTGCCTCGTGGGCCAACTTGTTCGATATCGCGAAATTTGACTGAACTTGGCTCTGGGAGAATATTTCACTCCCAGGTTCGTAGAGGACACCGCGTACAGGTGTTCCGTCTTGCCCTCCGTCGAAAAGGCTCGATAACGAGTGTATACCTTGAGTAAGCTATGCCCACTTCTTCGAGCTGACTCGGGTCTTGGGTAATGGGGAATGCAGTAGACTCGTTGACGATGGAAGCGCTCCTGGCAAAAATTGAGCCCAATCTTGGCTCCGCACTCTATTGTCAGATTTTGATGTTTGTAGAAAGCGCTGATGATAAGTGGGTGTTGCAAGCTCATGCTAGTATTGTTGGCCCTTTATAAACGTAAATCTCTATAGTATACCAACGTTGCAGCTCGACGATGAATAACGTACGAAATGATTGTCCAAGTCTACGAGCATCTGGGCACAGATCTACTCATGAGCTATCGAATACGGCGAAGTGAATATGCACGAGAGTCTCGTAGCCCTGTCGCCTCAGTCCAAACGGCAGGGTATTGACAGTCATCGCGACTGAGGCATCCATTTTAAATTAATGCTTGGCGCATCAAGAGAATTAGGATATCTCGGCTTAACAGCAATTAATCTTGTGGGTAATTGTCCTCTCACAGCTTACGACTTCATGGGCCATGTCGGTCATTCCAACCCGCAGGTCATGGATGCTCACGCCTCCTCTTCCTCCACCTCAAGAGAGAACCGCCCTCTACGGGTCTTCAATTGATGATGCACGCAGAGGAGCCCTTGGAGTTAATATTCCTTCCAATCAGAGCTTACGAATAAAAGCTCTCAATGGGATGCAGACCATGCTGAATTAATCGCAGGATGTTGCTCTCTGCAAGTTTGAAATCGAACTGTACGAGGAGTTGCTGGAATCTATTCATAAGGCACGACGGAAAACGCGATCAATCTGGTATCCACTCTGTTATGCATCCCGGAGTATATGTCGGGATCTATTGGCTGCATCCAAGGAGAAGTCTTAGATCCATTGATCAGCCCGTCGCATAATCCTCCCCTTTCAGGCACTTACCTTGCGCGATGATAACTTTCTTGACAGAAGAAATTACTTAAGTATTGTGGGGTATTCGGGGGTTAGGAAATGAGTGTGGGTTCTAGACGACATATCCATGTGCCATCGCATATAGGGAATCTATCTTCGCACACTCAATGTTAAGAAGGCATCACTATCCACACACACCATTCATTCGTTCAGTCAACCCGTATCTGAAAAATGCGTCTCTCAGCTTACCTCGTCATAGCTATCTCGACTGGAAGCACCAACGCCTATTGGAAAGGATTTAACGCCCAAGCGAATAAGGTCGACGGCTCTTGTAAAACCCAAGCCGATTGGACGTCTGATTTTAACATACTCAAGTCGTTTCCCGGAAATTTCAACAGTATACGGCTATATGCTTCGTCTGATTGCAACACACTTGCTAACGCTGTACCGGCCGCCCTTGCTACTGGCATCAAACTTCTTGCCGGCGTCTGGACCCAAAACGAAAATCACTTTGAAGCAGAAAAGCAAGAATTACTAGCAGCAGTACAAAAGTATGGCTTTGACTGGATTGCTGCTGTTTCAGTAGGGAGTGAGGATCTTTATCGAGCCGAAACCACGCCTAATCGTCTAGCTGAACAAATATACGACGTGCGTGGTATGCTTTCGACCGTCGCAGGATATTCGTCAAACATTCAAGTCGGACATGTAGACACCTGGACTGCCTGGGTCAACAACGCCAACATACCCGTCATCAAGGCTTGTGATTTTATTGGCACTGATGGATATCCATACTTCCAGTCTAATGATACAAATTCGGTTCAAAATGGCAATAAACTATTCCAGGAAAGCTTAGACGCTGTGCGAAATTCAGTAGCGGCTGTCGGCTCCGGGGCCTGGGTTTGGGTCACGGAAAGTGGATGGCCTATCACTGGGAATACGCTGAATCAAGCGGTACCTAGCATTGAAAATGCTCAGTTGTACTGGAAGACCGTTGCATGCCCTCTCTTCACTTCAGCCCACACTTTCTGGTACTCACTACAAGATGTAGGTGTGTCGCCCTCATTTGGTGTGCTTGATGCAAATGGAAAACCACTATACGATCTCTCCTGCTGAGATATTACCTGGATGTGAAGCTATAGCTAAACTATATTTCGGAAATGGTAACAGTCCAAAAACCCATTTCTACCATCAATGTCGCAAAATATGTCTATAATAACTCTTCGATGCTTCAATTCTATTCTACTTCACCTATAATTAGCTTTCTCCTTCTCTTTCCCCAAATATGAGGGCGACAAATAGCAATATAGGCCAAAATCACAATAGCTCCAGCACTCATACGCTTTAAATATATTTCAATTATCTTGCGGCTAATCTCAATACCAGTTGGCGTTATTATAACTGATATATCGCAATCGTACCTACTTTTTGGGTTACGATGGAAATAAAATCCAATGATCAATCTAGTTTAAAAATTTTTAATTTATCATACATTACATTTCTTTTGGAAAAATAAGCTTATATCTTGATTAAATATTGAATACAGCATTGCGGAAAACGAGTTTCCACCCTCTCTCTAATTTGAAAGTATTCCAACGTATTTTTCTGCCTATGACTCATTATCATGTCCTCTACCCATCAAAATGATTTGCTTGATAAGTACTGCCGGACCGATAGTGAATTGGTCTCAAATACATGAATTTGTGTATGTGGGTTCATAGTGCTACTTGAATCTAATGACTGCCCAAAACATCGGGCTCATTTCTGACCCAGACCACACCTTATACAGTGCTCCTTGCCTCTTATGTCCCTTGAAAGATCATTGATATAATGCTCGTGATGAATAGCAGCCCAGTCCAGTATTTTCCCGTGAAATTTAGCCACCTTTTCCGCGGAACCTCCTATCCAAAAAATGAAAAAAAAAGGTAGCAATGGAAACTACATTCGCGGGATAAGATCTGGTCGAACCTTTGTAGCTGGCTCGGAAAGATAAATGATTGAGACTGCAGGTATCTGGAAGAATAGCTCGTTCAGGAGTTTTCAATTGGAGTAAATAAAAAGATGTACTTGTCTCTCTCCCTCTTTCTCTCAGCTTACATATTTACACACATCTAATGCCCGATAGATGATAACATCTAGAAATAGCTTCCTTACATCACAAGATACAAAACCAGTCTACCACGTCTATTACACGGAACCCAAGTATTTTCCAGCCGGAAATCACCCACGACGCCAAGCTTTTCCCGGAGACAACCACAAATTATGTGAGGCACCGGCTTGGCATGTTATTCTGAAAATAATGTTACCATGATGTTTGATGAGTGGAATCTACATGAATGACGAAACAATAAGTCGGGAATACAGGTGTGATCGGGTTCTGATCTTCGTCTGACAGGTCTTCAAACCAGCTGCTCCAGCCAGGCGAGGCCTAGACAACGGGGCCACATGAGGTGCGCTTATTCCACCACATCTCTCTTATCTGTAACATTCAAAACTGACTTGATCCAATCCACCATCTACGTATCGGGTGCTAGGTTTGCTCCGAAAACTTATCGGATTGCTTTTACTCCATGATCAAGAGTTGGTGATGATTACGGCTCCGACCCTTCCATCTGATCTGATCGTGGTTAGCTTCATGATAGTGGTGATAGGGGAATGTGTTGAGAGATGAAGACGATACAGACCGCAAGAGCGATTGGGAATACTCGTGGAAGTGAGGACTTTGTTACTCAATCTCGGTCCTGCAGACTCCACAGTGAGAGCTGGAGGCTCGTAAGGGACACCACTGATAGGTGTTGAGAATAGTGTCCCGTTAGAAGAACAATGAATCTATAAACATCCAGTTGTCTTTGCATCTACTTGTCACGTAAGTGACACATAGCCCATCCAACAATTATAATATTACATAAATGCTTGATAGCGAGATCAATGATCAAAATAATGAAAGATTGAGAAGCTGGAGAGCTACTTTGTGGCAGCTCCAGCTTAAGTATAACTAAAGATTCTACAACTATTCCACTTGGGCTAGCACAAGATCTAGCCCTCACTCCAACCCTCGCCTCAACAGGCTCGATTCAAGCTGGCGCATTAACTTGGATGATAATCTAACTGTGACTATCTCAGATATATTGAGAATCTTTCTCTTGGAACTTCACCTTGAACTTTCCGCTCAAACACTGATTCAAGAATGTCTCGCCAGCACACAGTCCTTACAGAACTACCCGACCCTCTAGCGCGCTCCACGGCACCCAGAAACTACAAAAGAGTGGCGAACCGCTGTCCAATTTAAACGTAGCCAATTTCCCTCTTCCAAATACTTTAGTCTTTACACACACAAGGAGTTTGAAATTACACTCGTAGCCTGCCAAATGGTTAGGATAATTTCCCCAAAAAAAGGCCGTCTACAAAAGGAAATAGGTAGAAATCCCTCCATCTAGCATTAACCCCACACCAAATCGAAAATTTCACCGGGAACTATCTAGTGGGCTAGTTGGATTTCATCGCAGATGTTCGTCAGCTCGACCTATCTTCCGAAGGCGAGCGCGCCCTTTGGCGGGCCAAGTTCCCACTTGATGCCGGGCAGGGATGTGGAGGTCCACCGCGAAGATGGGCACGCTTTCTTCCTATGCTGCAGTGAAAGAAGTGATCTGGGTTTTCTCTTCACCGCAGGAGCAAGTCATTGGGGCGCCGTCGTGTGCGAAACGTCAATCATACTGGGCCAAATCTCCGTGTCCGGAACGAGCTGCGATAAGCGCTCCAAATGTCCGTCGATTTAAGCCTTTCTATTCCGGGGTTGTTCCTGAGCTAGGCCTGATTCCGAGTTCTTTATATCTAGACAGAGCTTCTCTTTCCCAGAAAGCGTTGGTGGAGGCCTCGTAGAACTGAGCAACCTTCCATTTTGCTCTTGCTATGGACAGAAGAAGAGATGTGTCGAATGACCCAATGACTTAAAGACCTTTCATGTATTATCTGAGAAATGATGACTAGTTATGTTGATAAGTAATGAGTTGCCTGTTTAGGAATGGCGTCAGGAGAATGAGAGACAACCGCTGTTTATACGTGTTTCCTTTAGTTAGAAGTCAAGGAATAGAAGATATATGTTAACCACCAATTGTTATTACTGCTATAAAAAGCTTGTGATATAAATACCACCCGAGTATTCCGACAAGATGATATATGAATTAGACATGCTGACTCGGCTGGAGAGTCTACTGCTTCGTTCCCATGGATTCCAGAATGTCCGGGGCACTATCTGACACGGCATATTCCAGCCCTAGAGCAAGATGCACATTTCCTATCAGACCAGCTGGCTGCGAGCTCCTGGAATTTTACAATTAGAGGGGAGCTTGTTGCGGCGGGGGGTAACAGGAGTAGCCGTAGTGCCGCTTCTTGAGTGTCTAGACAGACAATTACGTTAGTTGCATAAATGCCATGGGTTTGTGAATGGCAGCCGCTAGCTCCCTAGTCCTTCCAGAAATTTATGCGTCATAAACTTCTGCCGAGATGCCTAGAGGGATGGTTCTTTGGGCTATCTCGCGGGACGCACCACGGCGTATCGAATATCTTGTAGCTGATCGATTCTCGATTAACGCACCGTCGGAGAAAACAAAGAGGTCCAGCATTGATTGCAGATCAAATCAACCGGAGAAGGCATTGGCCCCACCATCGCGACCAACTGCAACAATCTTTTCCAAAGATGCATTCCGATTACCTTTCTAGGGTGGAGGAATAGTAACCTCTGAGAGTTCTGGACAAATTTTTGGTCGGATCTAGAGCATTCTTGCGGAATTCCATCTTCTACAAAGGGGGTGTACCGAGAACCTTCTAGGTAGTTGTAGAAGCGTCTCAATTATTCAGGACACAGGGAGAATCATCTTGAAGGGCAGTAATTTAGAATGTATAGATATGTAGACTTTACATTGATGAATTCTCTTTCCAGAGAATTATAATTAATCCACTGTACTTACAAGATCGCCCAAGCGTTTTGTACTGAAACCGTGACACCGAGGCTTATTTTTTTTTTTTGCATCAGATTTTAATTGCGTATGCAGCTATCTAGCTATGACACAATATCAAAGAAAAGTACAGAAAAGATGACTCAATTTACAAGTAGAACACTCATGCCTCGGATTTCATTTGCAAGTACCACTGCGAAGTTATGGTGGCTTTTTCTTCACCCCAAGTCAACCCTCATCCGTGAATACCCACCCAGGGGAACGTCTCAAAAACCCTGAGTTATCCAGACATGCCTCCGTCATCTTTCAACTTTTCTCCGCGCGATATGTGATCTGAGGTGTCTCCTTCCCAAGTGAAGAAGGTGCCCAGACTACTCAGACTATACCAGAGAACACCACTAGGACGCGGACCACTACACCTTCCATCGTTTGCTTGTTTTTATAGAGTCAGCTTGTTATGCTGGCTCGGTTGAGTTGTTAGGAGACAGGGGAACGTAGGATGGGCTGCTGGATTAGGAAAGGGTGGAAAATACAGGCTGGTGCACAGACGCTGTTCATGTACTCTACAATCTCTTCACCTGCCGAGTTTAGTGAATTAATCTATCCAAAATAATATCACACTTCACATCATCCATTAGATGATATTACCAATTGTCGGGATGCACATCTAGCATCACCTTCATAGATCACCATCGTCAGTAAGAGTTCACATTTGATACCTACTGACACCCATTTGGCCACAGTGATACGCACTCAGTGTCCATCGTGCCATCACCCAGCGTGAGCGCGCCATCTCCGCGACTCACCATTGCACATGAGCCCGTGTAACTCCACCGACGGACAGCAGAGACATAATTGCTATCTACCTCACAGCTCATAACCACAACACAGCTGCACTCTCGTAAGCGAAGTCTTGGCGCACACAAAGCCCAATTCGTAAAACTCTTGCCAAAATTCGAAATTTCACGCCTGTCGAGAATGTATCCCTCTTCTGCATCATCTTGTAAACCTGTCCTGATCCCTCTCAGGTCCGTCCCAAAGAGCTATCTTCTAGATTTGTGCTCCACGCTTTGCTTCCTCCGTCGGGTATAAATATCGGCGTGGGCGTGTATTTGGTGACCGGCTGAGGCCAGAGAAAGTCGACGAGAGGTGTGGTCATTGAAACAAGGATGTACTATGTCATACTTGTAGACTTGATGAAGCTTAGTTGAGAATCGGGCTCTTTAGGAGTGAAAGATTGTCATGGTGGAGGAATTTGAAATTTTGCCTCGTGGGCCAACTTGTTCGGTATTGCGAAGTTTGACTGAACTTGGCTCTGGAAGAATATTTCACTCCCAGGTTCGTAGAGGACACCGCGTACAGGTGTTCAGTCTTGCCATCCTGTCGAGGCTATGTAGATGGCTAGGCGATCGTGAATACGTTCAAGCCAGGCTCGTGCAGGATCCCAACCTGTCTCACAGAGAAGTACAGCAACTGGCGTCGTCCGGAATACGGAAGAGCTGCTCGGGTCGCGTCGTTCATCCTTTGTTGTATTCTAAGAACTAGTCCTTTTGGGGTTCCTTTAGAATACTAAGTTTCAGCCCCGTAGAGCAAGGTCGAAAAAGCTGCTCCTTGAAGTGCATGTCTCAAGAGAGGAGAGATTATTGAGAAGCTTTTTATGTGGCTCGTGATGGCCAAGGATCTACCGCAGGCTTGTCTTACATGTTCTCTAAATCGAAGGCCTCGGTCAAAGACAACCCCAAGCCAGCGCGTGTGGTCGTTTGGAGTGACCTCTACTTCATTAGCATAAACGCTGAGCTCTGCTGAGGATCCATGCTTTCGGTGGAAATATTGCAGCTCAGTTTTTGACACCTCAAAAGTGATGCCGCTCTCGCGCCCCCATGCGAGGTTGGGTCAACTGCCTCTGAAGTAGTTCTGCACATAGAGTGAGAGATGGCGCAGATGCTATAAGTGCTACATCATCTGCGTAGCCAAAGCTTTTGGTAGAGAGATGGAGGAGGACTTCAATTGCCAGTAGGAATAGGATTGGAGAGGCGGGCGACCCTTGTGGAAGGCCACAATGGATTTCGAATGTTGGAGATGTAGTTCCATCAAGTATGATTAAGGCTTCTCGCTCAGACATAGAGGAAGACACCCACTGTGCCACATTAGGGACTAGCCTTGATCCCGCAAGCAGTGACAGGCGGTCTTTTTGGATACCATCAAATGCTCCTTTCACATCTACTGTGACATTGCCAGCCACCTCTTTTTTGGACCACGCATCATGTATATCGCAAGGTAGTAGTGTTATGAGGTCTGAGGCTATCACCTACATAGATGATTCATTCATGAGTTGACATCGTCCAAACGACCATGATTACATCACAACGGCATGTTTAGACGTGTCTCAACGTTTGCACTTGTTGTATCAACCATGGCTATGTATCGGTGATAGGACAAATATCATTTACTAGTCACCAGAAACCTATTCAAGATCCTAAACACACAACTGGGATTAGGAGAATTTTACTGAGTAAGTGATTATTCTGATGTATCTAGATCTGGAGGAACATAATCAGGTTGCTTGGCTCGAGGTATATGAGCCGGAGCATATCATGTATTTTAAGCTATATAGAAATCTATCTAAATCACAATCATCATCTTAATTCATGTCACCGTCAATAGCTGCAGAGGACAGTTTCACAATTTCCTTATGAGATCTTGACCTGCTGAAGTCTCGACATCTCGACACCTTGACCGTGGCGTGAGGGGCGATTAGGCGTTTGGCGAACCATGAGCCTCGAGTCGGGCTTGGATTTTACAGCCATTGTTGCAGGGATTTTTTAGTCTTGAGTGGCTGGACTGGCGTAGAATAGCTTTGCTTTGCCACAGATGTGTATGATAGGGGTAACCTGACTGCTGGAGGTGGATTATTTATCGTGTTTTCATTGGTTTGTGAGATAGTTGTTGACTGCTCAAAGACTGGCAGGCTGGCCATGACCCAGGCGGCGCTGCGTATCACGATGGCTTTCACGTCAGCTGTAATAGCTGGAAGAGCGCGAAGGTGTTGAGCGCCGGCGCTTTGCCATGCCATTAGTGATGTGGCAATATTATTGGTCGTGGCCGCTAAGGCCTGGTGTATAACACGCGCTGATTCACGCGTCGAAGGGGGGGTAGATTGGGTATCTACTTTCGGAGTATGTGCAGGTTGACTTTTAGAAGAGGCGTGTATAGAACTGGAGAGGCTTGTACCAGAATTTCTTTTTAAGGCTCTTGTTGCTTGTAGCTTTAGGGCCTTAGCTGCAGGCTCGAGCGTGTGCATCGGGTCAGGGAGTCAGTTATTTTCTGACCCTGAGTCCATGGACTCATCTTCGGAGTGAATAAGAATTAACTGGGCTAGAGATTGGTAACTCTCGGTAGAAGCTTGAAAAATGGCTTCTTCACGTGCAGATGGAAGTGGGCTCTTAAGTCTCACACGTTAAGCAGCACGCGTAATAGTTTTCGCAGGTAGTGCGATCACGGCAGGCTTTTTCTGTCTGCCAATCGGCATGCTGTCTAATTGAGACGTAGGTGTGTTGAAAATAGCTGTATGAATGTAACTCGATGATGTAATTTTTGCAATCGAGTTTGAAAATCTATTTGGTGATGGCGAATATTAACAGATCACGTGTAAACACCCGGGGGATCTAAGATAGGCATTGTAGTTGTGATATTTTATTGCATTACTTAAGTCTTGGACTATCTAGCTCATTGTGCTCCTTCCGACCCAGGCCACACCTTGTAAAATGCTCCTTGCCTCTCATGTTCCTTGAAAGATCATTGATATATTGCCTGTGATGAATAGCCATTCGGAGTCATTATAGTTAATCAGCACCGTAGCTTGACACTCCTAAAATCCACAAAGAAAATATACACATGTAATTTGGCATTGCTTTAGTGCATCGGCTGAAACTCCTATCCTATCATAGAATTTGAACTTCGGAATTTTTCTCAGACCAGCTCTGTGTGTAAGGAGACGTCTCAGGTAGATAATATCACCGGGTAGGAGTTAAAATATACAGGTAGCTCGAATAAGTAGGTAGTCTCCAACGGGTAATTATGATACAAGAATGTCGTGTGCCCAATCTCATCAGCAGTAAAGCGACTAGTTACACTCTAGGTTAAATGAAACTAGAGCTTCCTCCCAACTCATACAACTCAACGTTACATGAGACAAACCCTGAACTCAGCCTATGTGGTAACCAGCCCATTGCTTGACTAACCAACACATCTGCTAAATTCTAGGGTTAGTATTAAGCAGGTAATAATATTAATTTAGATGTATTCTCTGACATCATGAATGCTTAGATACTTGATGAACCATGATTTATCTCTCGTTTCTTTTTTTTTAAATTCATTAAGTGTATGCAGCCTAATTAGCTGTGACACTATCTCTCGTTTCGTGGCAGGTTGTAGCTCAATCGATCAGGCTACTTGGACGTACAAAAGGATCCGGTTTGATCTCAGATAATCGGTTTGAATCGCCATCACATCCTGGGAAACCTGCGATTGTTTGCCCATCGATCCGAAGGATAGGCATGTCACGGCCGAGATCTTAGTTTCTCATTAGAAAATACGAGAATATTGCTCACACGAACGACTCCTGGCCATCAATAATACTTAATATGCCCGAGTTGTAAGCACCCAAGCGATCAAAAATCTAGGTTTCAGATTCTTCATTGAATAAAAGAAAACCGTACAAAAACCGGCGTGGGGGCTGCGTGTAAAATACTTCACACATATCTCGATAGTTGGAGGAACTTGTCCTTTCTTTATCCTTATTTGGTAATATCGTGAGCTCACCCACCATATTCATCTTCTTTCAGTCAACTTCATCGTTGTTTAGATCATAATTTTAATGAAGCAGCCGATTTGGGTCTTACATGAGTCACTTTGAGGCGCTGCGTGTAGTTTGTGCGACATTATCGCCCACGCAGAAATTAGCCCTTTTTTCTCTTGTGGCGGGGTATTTTGTTGATCTTGTTGACCGGCATTTGAGCTGATTTAAGAAGTTTTCCTCGAAGAAAGTAAGCCAGTCTCATACCTCGCTTCAGGTTATGTTTTCTTCGAGGATTTTTTCTTCCTTGGCTGCATGGAGTCTAATCTATTCTCCAACAATTTTTAAAGATTTTATTTTTTAGATCATTCGATCTTATTTTCTTCTCAGCAATTTCATTAGTTTTATAGCTTTCCCAGATACGGGGAGCCTGGTCGGTCTGTTCCTTTCCCAAGCATAGACCGTCCTAGAAGTAATAATGCAGAATACGTTGTTTGGTATGTTCTTAAGAACATCTTCAAAGTCGGCAGCAGTTTTTTCAAAACCTGTTCTTTCTACAGTGTTTTCTCTTATTGTAATCAGAGTGTCACTCATGTCTAATGAATATTGTGGTGTGTATATTTTTCCAAGACAAAAGCTGATCGTTAGATATCTCGCTCATTTTTGTTGCTAAGAATGTCTTTAATAAGTTAATTATATACTGACATCTTGTTTTTTCATTTCTTTGACCGAAATCTGATTCCATCAGTTATAAAGTTATACCGTGTTCTCTTTGCCTTCTATTTCTTTTACGTGTGCAAGTAAACTGTGATACAGTTTTTCAAGAACTATCCCATTACCTGAAAGCAACGGAGCTCCGGGGTGAGATAGATCCGATTTTGAGCTATCTTCTTTCCTGTATTTCCGGAGAATATAATCAATGGAATTGTTCGCTTGATAGATGAAAATCTCCTGGAAATTAAATGAGTTTATTTTCTGGGTTTTTTATTAACAAGCTGAGCAATTTACACCTTCGGAAATGCTATGGGAGCTTGGGATGGAGTGGGATCGGGCTGAGTAAGGTTAGCTCTCATAAAGTACGAATACCTCGTCCCCACTAAAACTTCACGCATGTGTTGAATATGTGAAGTCCAACCGTCCAGGGTGCCGGATTTTGATGCGCTTGAGCGCAATTTCCACTATAAACTCGGCAAACACGTGCCCGAGCCCTTGAATACCTCCCGGTGTCTAATTTTCCTTTTAATTTTAGTCCTGGTCATTACATATCTCTGAATTTCCTTGTCTTATCCGGAAGTTGATTTCTTCATTAGATGCCTAACCCAGCCGTCTACCGGGGCATCCTACATTTTCGTTCTTTTTCTTTCCTTGTTATAATTACCCTTAACCTTTGTATCGATGTGGCATTTATAGATAGTTTTAGACTCTCCATACCTCAAGTCTTGCCCCGTCGTTGGCGTATCCCTAGACTTAGAGGACAAGTTTGGGTCGCAAGTTTCAGAGATGGGGCACCGATGCCTCGGCCCCTTTCGAAGGCTTCAGTTGATGTGCCGCCAAAATTGTCTACATATTTCGTTTGTGACGATTCGTCACAGGTTGAGTTGTTGGTGCTCTTGACCGAAGTTTGACGAGTATCAGGCCGATACTTCGACAGTGTCTTCACAATGCATCAAAGTTGCGATGGTATGAGTTTCTGCTTCGATCCCAGATCGCTAATATGACTTTCGAGTTTAGGAGTGCCTAGGTTAATCGTGAGATTATCGTCGAGTCGTGAGATGAGTTATGGTGGGAAAGATTTTCCACGAAAGTTTGAGAATGCGAAGGTTGTAAGTTGTTTCCATTCGAACATCACACAGGTTTTATGCTATCTACAGTTTGTTGGGTCGTGCGGAGGCTGTGCAACCGTTAAATCTCTGCAAGTCAGATTTTCGTCCAGAAACTTGCCAACGCCACTCCCCCTGTTGCCGTCTCATCGAAACCTCTCGAATACTCCCTTGGTAGTGACAAGTTCTCAACTCTGGGTGAATATTTCACTCCCAGCTTGACAGAGTGTGCCGAGCACAATCGGTCGTTGCTTTGTGTGTTGATCTAGGGCTCGGCGATCCTTGTCGGGGTGTAGCGAGGGGCGAAGCTTCCAGGGCAGTAAACACTGGCGTATCTGTCTCGTATTAAGTAAGTAGCAGGGGCCCGAGTCTCATCTAGGCGTTCCGGATGGACGTCCCATAGGAAAACAAACAAACTGCTAGAAGTAAAAAGTAAGAAGCTGGCATAGATGAATACTTCTAATTCCTTTGATGCCGGTGTAACTCTCAGCATGCTCTGTACATCTGGGACGGCCAAGAAGAATCGCATCCGAATCAAAGTCCAAAGCAACTTCAGGCATTTCTAAAACGACCACTTCTCGTCAATGACGGAGCTATTATTCTCGTACGAGTCCACTACCTCAATCTTACTACACCACCTCGCCTCCACTACCGACTACAGTGTTACTCCAATTTCAATCACGAATCTGCACGATCAAAAATCGGCCATCTTTCACCACAAATTTACGACGCTTCTTGTACCGACGAGGAGCAGAATAGGTCGTGAGATACAAGGCTTTTAATAGAAGGTTTGTGATCTGGCTTATGAGGAACTGTTGCTCTGATGAGACAAACAACTTGAGGGAGAACAGGTGGCTGAGATGTGGAGCGAAAGGGGAACAGGTCTCTGAAGATCATCCCGGGACTGATATTTTCGAGGGGTTTTCAACTTTGTTATGTTTGTGGACGCCAGGACCAGGGTTTCAGCTCATGAGACTGGAGGATTTCAATTGTCGATGAGTCAATGGCACTCCCCAGAGCCCTGGATGGTACAAATAAAGTTGAGCTAAGCTACTATTCAGCAATCATGCTCTGTGAAGACTTTTTTGACATTTCAGCACAATCTTCGGGAAGGAGGCTAGAAAGGTATAGAGTTAATTCCCTGAAGTACCCATAAGTCTGCAGCGGCCAGCTGGCCGGCATCAAGAAACGCTTCAGAATGGTCATTATGTCTTCGGATCTAGTCCTGCTGTCGGTGTTAGAAGAGCCCTGCACCCAGTAGTTATTCTCAAATATTCCCGGCTGCCGTACACCCGCAAGTAACTATCGTTTCATTGGCTGGAGAGGAGAGATAATATCAACCAAATAGGCTCAGTCAGAATGATTAGAAAAGAAGCTGTTGTCCTTCTCTCTAGCAATGTCTCATCTTTATGTGAATACACCAGATTTCACCTTTTTCGTCCCGAACTTTGGTCCTCAGCCTAGACTACTTTATTTGTCAACATTTTGACAACACCGACCTCATGTCAGGAATTGATGACATCAAACCTCTTTCATCGGAGTTCCTGAAGCTAGGTTGGTCCCCGGTCAATTCCGTCTGCCTTCCTGGCTTTCCACCGTCTCCGAGAAAAACCTCAGGTGAATAGCACCTAACAAATTCAACAAAATAAATAACCATAAATTCACTAACATGAAACACAAACAGAGGGAAATCCTGGTCAACAGATAATGAAGGGTAAACGTAACGGCTTGGAAGCCGATTTTTGCCACGTACTCCCACAATTCTACAGTAGTCTAGCTTTATTCCAGATCAGTTCTGTTGTAACTGGAATGTCCCAGTAATTGGTAGAAATACTGGGAGTTACTCCGAGTAGAACATGCAAGAAGCAGACATCAGCCAATAACGAGTATTCTGAATATTTCGATAAATGTATAAATAATTAAAGTGCTACTTCGACAGTTAGCCACAGAGATAATTCTAGACCACCTTTTTATATCTAATCGCCCCAGTATCAATACTCAAACCGTGATAGAAAAGTTGTTGGTATGACAAAGTCCATACACTACAAGCTAATAGGTTCACTTGAAGTAATGAGAGTAATGCAGTACGTAAGGAGAACAATTGTTCGATTGGGTTCGATTGATTATTTATATCTCTCCCCTAAATTATAGCTACGAAGTTGGTGTCTATCCTCGGATAATAGTTTACCCGATACAAGGGAATCACAAAGAAAAGTCTTCAAACATCATGCAGGGACCACCAACTTCAAACCCAAAATAGGCTCAACCGAATTAATCGTTCCGACAAAAGTGTTCCTCTAAATGTTTGGTCAAGCGAGGACTCGTGAGAGGTAGCACTGTTCGAGGAAAGCTGTATAGGAGGTACAGGGAGGATTATAATTTAAGTATGGGTATCTTTGGCCTACAGGTAAGGATGATCTGAATATCCTGTAAAATCCTGGAACGAGAAAGGACAACAGTAAGTTAACCTCGATATTATTTCCAACTCTATCGAAGAAAACTGCCAAAAGCTAGAGGTATAATATCAGATCTCTGGACAGCGGGCAGAAAAGCCTGATGTCGGATTCGCGCACGAGAATTATTATCTTACGCATTCTCAAGAACTGGGCAACGACACGAACCTAAAGCGGGAATCATAATTCAAGGCCATATTAATGTGCCACAGTTTTCTGTCCGGGTTTTTGGAATCTAATTTGATCCTAAGCTGAACTGGGGAGCTCGCGTAAAGAGCTTACAACCGAGGGCAGAGATGGAATACCAAGTGCTGGGTAGGTTTGTACAATCAACGTGGCAGCAAAATTTGACAAAGCAAAGGTACTCGATGGGACCGTTGTGAGGCTGGCCCTGGCGGCAATATACTGGAAGGTATAGCTAAAGCTTTGAAAGGCTCACAAAGAAACTGCCTACAAGTTGTCACGGCGGCATACAAATGTCCATGACGAAAGTGGTAGAACAAGAAACAGCTATCCTGCCAATCGAAATTTTCTAGAAATAACAAAGACTCTAATGCGTCGGCTGTTCAAAGAACTCCTCATCTAGAAGGAATTATTATCAGCCTGTATTGAAATCAGCAGCCTAAAAGAGGTGCAGAAGATATCCGTTTACATAAGAGAAGGATGGATTTAGTTTGCTGGACAAAAGTGCGTGGAAAGCGCTAAACCAAGGAAATGCTGAAAGGCGTGGAGAAGCTGCAACGTGATATGAGGGGGCAAAATCCCGGCCCAACTAGACGCGAACTCGGAAGCTTCAGCAACTTGTCACTGCCCATCACGAAACTTGGAGAGGAGAAAAGCTCCACTCATATAGAAGACCTGGGCGACACAAACTGGGCCCGCAGAACTTCCCTTTTTCTCGACACCGAAACCTGACAAGGGCCCACGGCCGTTTGGCTGTGCAAATTCTGAACGAATACATCGGGCCCAACTTGTATTTACGCAGAAAAGCACGTGGAGTCTTCTGTCTCAGCTGTCCGTGAAGCTATCAATCACAGAACCCTTTGCAAATGATCGTGTCCTACTTCTGATGGTCAAATTGTACAAGTGAGATCTGGAGAAAGCTCCGATATTGGTATTTCTACGCCATGACCAACAATCATCGTGAAGTCAAAAGGATCACGCACCGGGTCTCTGATCAGCATAAGATAGAGCGATCCCGGAGGACAAACAAGGTTGAAATGCTGCCAGAGGAGAGAAGGAGGACGAACAAAACTGTGCGTGATTTTAGAAGATGTGATTAGTTCACATGCGTGGCCATGTAGTGTGATTGCACTGCCCGAGGAACAGATTGGGAGATCTCAGACGTAACGGAGATGGGTTGGGCAGTTCTCACCAAAAATATTTTTTCCCTTGTAGATATATAGATAGAGTTTGTAGCTAGCTGAATGGGCCCGTAGCCGCGGATTCATGTAGGATAATCATATCAAATTAAACCGAAGTATTCTTGGCCAGTAATGGAATCCATCTCGACTCTAGAGACTCTTGAGCCAGGCCTTCAGGTTCATAGTTGATACTGTTAATGAGTTTCTAGTCTTCGTCTTCCGTTCGCCTGCACCGAGCTGTTGGATGAACGGAGAGGCCTAGTCAAGCGGCGCGCACATCTACAAATCCATGAATACAATCGGGTTTTTATGCTGCTTATCATCAATATATACCGAGATTGTTGCGTCATACTGACACCGCTGCAGGCTCAGTCAGATAATTTCGGCGTCCTTTGCATTAGTACTGGGGTTTGCTTGGGCGTTAGGACCTGACCATTCTCTCGCATCCAGAGGACTTGCTCAGTTTTAAATAGAAGAAATTCGTCTGTGGGCCCTGTGATTTAATAGCAGATTGAACAATAATTATCTATTCATTTGACTATTTTGGAGGTAATTTACAGTTGAGCTAAGGTTTCCACTCGCGCTCAAATCACCTGAACCCTTTAACGCTTCACTATATTTTTCATCGAGCCTATCAGTCATATCATCTGCTTCTTCCGAAGCATCTGAATCTTCAAGATCACTAAGGGTATCCAAATCAACATTTGAAGCCAAATTCTTTGAATCAGTCGGGATATTCATGTCTTTCATCAAATTTTCCAATTCTTTATCTCTTTGGGCCAATTTTTCATTTTCTCTCTCCTTTATCCTTCGTTCTAGTTCCGGTTTATAATCGTTATTGTACTCTTCAGTCTTTTTTGCAACTGCCTCGAAAAACTCATCGATGCCTTGGCCAGTCATAGAGCTTACTCCCACCACGCTCAAATGACAATAGAATTCCTCGAGCATCAAGCTCATACTATTGAGCAAGGAGCCCATGTATCCGCTTCCTTCGGAAGATTCATGTCCCATCCCTTCCGAGTCGCCCGACTCCTCTCTCAAAGCAGCCTGAAAAGCTTCAAAATCCGTCATCCATTCCTTGGCAAACTCTGCATCCTTAACATCAGTCTTATTGAAGACTAAAATCATGGGGAGCTTGAGTTTGTACAAGATACTGCAGGCATATAGCATATTACTCATAAATGTACTAGTAGATGCCGTCCGCGGGGTGTCGATTATGTATGCGATAACAGTGGGAAATGAGGATGCTAGCGATTCAAGCAAAATGCTTCCCGACGCGCTCCAAACAAAAACTTCAATCTGACCCGGTGTATCTACTAGTATATTTTTTATGGGGATTGATTCGGGTTTTGCTGGATCAGGATGCATCCGCTTCTCAAGTAAGGCAATGATCTGGTCAATTTTGGTCGCAAATAGGTTTAGAGACGTCAGAATGCCACCATTAGGGCCGAGGTTATATGATTTCATGACTTCTTTGTAGTTGACCGAATCTCTGATGTCAATATTGCTATCGAATGGCACATTTGTTACGGCAGGATCTAGGTTAATCACATAAGGAGGATCATTTTTTGCGTGAAGGTGCGAATTTATTCTCTGCATGAAAGTAGTTTTGCCGGAACCTGAGTAGTTGTTAGACATCAGCTTGAAGCCTGGGGATGTACAGACCAGCCATGCCAACACACACAATTGCAGTTGGCAAATTAGAAGTTTGGGACGACATCTTTGCGTTAACGGGAATAATACCCAGTATGTGAAGATTTTATTTCAGGCTGATACTTGAGCTTGCGTTGAGCCTTTCGTTGGAATAACCAAAGGACAAGGATATGCCGTTTGCGTAGCAGTCACGCACATTTGGGGGGGGCAAAATATTTTCCAGGCGAGCTGCGAGTTGCAAAGTTCGAAAAAGTTGGTGAATGAGATCGTCCCAAAGGCTACAGTATGACAATATACTTCTAGTCTTTCACTTTGAATTGATTTTTCTTAGCCCGATTCATGACCCATAGGGCGCGTGCAGGTGTACACGAACTCTAATATTTTTTTGAAAAACTGTTATGGTTAAAACACCCTCAAATATCTGATTTAATCCCAGGTTGTTTTTAATTTACCATTAGGAAGTGTGCTCACACTATTACTGCCAGAGTAGCTCTGTTTCCAATTGTCTTGCTTATTACCCTTGTGTGATTACAGCTTTCGACTTCTCTAGTTGGCAGAAACTGCTACAGTCATCCTTCCTTTGGTATCCACTGTGTAATTCTAGCCATATCTTTGACATTATTTCCACAATTTCCGAGAACCGGGTTTCGATTTTTTCATCATTCTACCCCTTCCATAGCACCATCTTAGACAAGAATCGTCATATACCGCACGTACTGGGACGTATATCCATGATGATAGCGTGGATATCCCACTCTTGTAACTTCTCTCCGGTGTAAACTAGTGCTGAGCGCGTTGCCCTCGCTTCTTACTTGTGATGCGGTGCTACTATGGGCCCCAACTTCCAACTCATCATCACTCTCTAAGTGGAGGGCGAAGGCTGAACACCTGTCAGCGGTATCCTCTACGAACTTGGGAGCGAAATATTCTCCCAGAGCCGAGATTCAGTCACGAAAAGGGGTGGGATGAATTTTATTTGATGGATATTCGATTTGGAGGAGTTGCTCTCGATATCTTGTTCGAAAAATCAGTCGGCAGAGATTTCACAGCCGGAACAAAGTCGAACCAAAACTCATCACCACCAACATACGATTCACGAATGAATTTAGGTCTGTCTAGGGGTCGTATTCAAACATCCAACATCTCTTAAACTCCTCATATATTTGCGAAGAAGCATTTCTCAGTCGATCCTTTACCTGCAACCCACTTCCATACTCGTCCGATCACCTACCTACACACGCCCTAATGAGGAAAGTCATGATGGAAACAGGACGTGTACAAAGGAGGAAGAAAAGGGAAAATACACTGAGGGGATTACACAAATCCCCAATGACGAAAACAACCCAACGGTACGATATGAAGGTGCAAGGCTAGAGCAACGATGAGATCTTGGACGGTATTTATATTTCGGAGTCAATGAGGATGTCAAGGGCTCAGGCGCGTGGTGGCCAAGGCTGAGGAGGAATTTGCGCCACGGCGTTTATACAGCGGGTTTCTGGGCGGTTATAGTTGGTATGATCCAACACATAGGTGAAGTCTGAGGTGGTCCGTCAATTAAGTGGGACGAGGTTTATCTGTACTTCACGGTAGTCAACCTGATCCAGCCCGGCCCTACCCGTGCTTTAGCACCAGCATGAGTGCAAAGATAGTCATTTAACCTAGCATGTTAATGAACAAAAAAATAAATAAATAAAACACACTCTAAGTTTACCAACATTCTTTGAGTTTTGCTATTTAACACACGGCTTGCAGAGAACGAAGGCTTAAAACTTATCAATGCTGTCTTCAACGATCATGGGCGTGAAAATTTCCCCTCAGAGCAGAGCTTCAGTCACAACCATGGGCTTACTTAAGGGTTATGGCTGAAATGGCGTTCGTGAGGTGGAGCAATTTTATCAAGTTCTTGCTCGAAAACACAATCTTCAGAGTTTCTATGTCTGGATAGCCCAACAAGTTAAATCATTTATATCCAAATTACGAACCCCAGACAGAATCAGGCCTGTCCGGTGTGGTTAGACGCTGAGGGTCACACGTATGTGTGTGTGTGTGTGTTTTATTGTACTACTTGAGTCTATGACTATCTAGCACATTGGGCTCCTCTCTGACCCAGGCCACACCTTGTACAGTGCTCCTATCCTCTTTTGTTACTTGAAAGATCATTGATATATTCCCCTTGATGAATAGTCATTCAGCTCAGTATTTACCTGTGGAATTCAGCCACCTTTTCCACGGAACCTTCTACCCAAAAATAATAAAAATGGTAGCAATGGAAACTGCGTGCGCGGGAAAAAGTCTCAAAAAACCTGCAGCCCCAGCCAGGCGAGGCCTAGACACCGGGACCACATGAGGTGCGCATATTCATCTACATCTCCCTTCTTTGTAACATTCGAGGTCGACTTGATCCAATCCACCATCTCTGTATCGGGTGCTGGGTACGCTCCGGAAACTCATCGGATGGCTTTTCCTCCATGATCAAGGGTGGGTGACGAGTAGGGCTCCGACCCTACCATCTGATCTGATCGTGGTTAGCTTCATGATAGTGGTGATAGGGGAATGTGTTGAGAGATGAAGACGATACAGACGGCGAAAGCGATTGGGAATCCTCTTCGAAGTGAGGACTTTGTTACTCAATCTCGGCTCTGCAGACTCTACAGTGAGAGCTGGAGGTTCGTAGGGGACACCACTGACAGGTGTTGAGAATAGTCCCCCGAGGGTCACACGTAAAATGTAAAGTAATAGTATATTGATGAAATTTCTGCTCCTCTACTCCTCTCCAGCTTTGGTGCTATATACCTATCTAAACCTATTTCTGGAACAGAATATCTTCTCTTAATTTCCCAAAATTACATACCAACTAAATTTAATGTGTTGGGGATCAAAAAATCCTCATTTGGAGCTTTGAACATCCTGATCACCATGTCCCTGGTGAGATATCAGAGCTTGAGTGGGTTAATCCGAGAGGAAGTGTTACCCCAATACCCAATGATTCTTATTCCTAGATTCAGTGTGTTCCAAGATATCAGTTATTTGACATATTTTCATGCTGTTATTATTTGAAATTGACTTCATTTAACCCGATTTGGCGGCTTGTGAGCTCACGCAGGCCGCCACAAACCTATCTATATATTTACATGAGGGGAAATTCTTGCGATAAAACCCCCTCTCCCTGTGAAGTTTTATGTCTGTAGTCCTTTATTACCTACAGGAAGTGCAATCGACCTTGAGTCAGGAACTGGACTAGCTAAATTGTAGGTGACCTCGCGTGATGATGAAGGATGACTTTTGTCATGTATACGACACCGATGGCACAAATAGTTGTGGTGTTGGGGCTGGGACCAGGATTTGTTTGCGCGGCCCTCCCGGCCCTCTCTTGACGCCCTCTGGCTTTTGGTTGGATACAAGTATGAACCCTTGGTTATCTGGTTGATTTTTCCCTGTTGATAATGTAGTTGCCACTGGTGATATATCCTCTATTCTTAATTCCGCCATTCTCTCCATGAGCCCATACCATGCCCGCTCAACACTGGCCTTGTATGTCGTAAAGCTTGGACACTCCCCAGTCTGCCATGATAATTAAGCCTTGCCACAGTTGCAGCAAAGCACCGACTTCTTCAGGCAGTCTATAATCTTCAGATACCCCTTCCCCCTCTCGCTCCACGTCTGAGCCGCCTGTTCTCCCTCAAGTTGTTTGTCTCATCAGAGCAACAGTGCCTCATAAGCCAGATCACAAACCTTCTATTAAAAGCCTTGAATCTCACGACCTATTCTGCTCCTCGTCGGTACAAGAAGCGTCGTAATTTTGTGGTGAAAGATGGCCGATTTTTGATCGGGCAGATTGTTAGAGTATAGAGAAGACTTCGGAGTAAGAATTGCCTGAGAACGGAGAAGAAGTTCAGTTTGCTTAATTGACTAATAGACTACAGGTATTATAATATATACAGTGGAATTACAAGAAAGAGGTTATCCGGAACCGACTCGACTGCAGAAATAAGTGGGACCCCAGACCAGAAAATAATTATCCACTGACTCAGAATACTGGGTCATGCAATAGAAATACGAACAAACCAATGACTGGATTTGTTCGGGAAGAATGATATTCATGCAGACTCTAACGTTTAGTCCGATTGAATCAGAAGTGTGGGATCCTGCCTGACCTCAGAAATGTAGTTCAGGCAAGATGCATGCAACCACATTGGTCGATAGAAAGAAAAGCAGGAAACTGTATTTCCAACACAGATTTGTGGTTGAAATTGGAGTAACACTGTAGTCGGTAGTGGAGGCGAGGTGGTGTAGTAAGATTGAGGTAGTGGACTCGTACGAGAATAATAGCTCCGTCATTGACGAGAAGTGGTCGTTTTAGAAATGCCTGAAGTTGCTTTGGACTTTGATTCGGATGCGATTCTTCTTGGCCGTCCCAGATGTACAGAGCATGCTGAGAGTTACACCGGCATCAAAGGAATTAGAAGTATTCATCTATGCCAGCTTCTTACTTTTTACTTCTAGCAGTTTGTTTGTTTTCCTGTGGGACGTCCATCCGGAACGCCTAGATGAGACTCGGGTCCCTGCTACTTACTTAATACGAGACAGATACGCCAGTGTTTACTGCCCTGGAAGTTTCGCCCCTCGCTACACCCCGACAAGGATCGCCGAGCCCTAGATCAACACACAAAGCAACGACCGATTGTGCTCGGCACACTCTGTCAAGCTGGGAGTGAAATATTCACCCAGAGTTGAGAACTTGTCACTACCAAGGGAGTATTCGAGAGGTTTCGATGAGACGGCAACAGGGGGAGTGGCGTTGGCAAGTTTCTGGACGAAAATCTGACTTGCAGAGATTTAACGGTTGCACAGCCTCCGCACGACCCAACAAACTGTAGATAGCATAAAACCTGTGTGATGTTCGAATGGAAACAACTTACAACCTTCGCATTCTCAAACTTTCGTGGAAAATCTTTCCCACCATAACTCATCTCACGACTCGACGATAATCTCACGATTAACCTAAGCACTCCTAAACTCGAAAGTCATATTAGCGATCTGGGATCGAAGCAGAAACTCATACCATCG